GTTTCCCAGTAGGCTACTATCTTCAAAAATTTAAATGCAATATAGATCATCAATTTGTGTCTTTCTGATTTCTGTTCTTTTATTGTATTTTCTCACCATTAATGTTTTCTCATTTTCTTTCACTATCAGTTATCCTGTGTGTCTTTCTGGCATTATTGCCTTAGATTAAATAATCAAATGAAAAAAAGATGAGAGACTGCTTTCCCTTTTGATAGACTTGATCTCATCCACTTTCCAATTTCCCTTTCTCTTCACTGGTGACATTGGTGGAAATGGCCATGAATCAAAGAGAGTCTGATGAGGCTATTTGTGTAAATTTGATTTTTGTGGACAACGCTGCACAACAGAGAAACACACACACACCTGGTCTGAAGATTGTGTTAACCATGTTTAACAGACTGTCACCACTGGGTGTTCACAGCAATGTCCACTTATATATATATATATATAGATATATATAGATATGGATATATACAGTTATAGATATGGATATATGTCAATAAAATTACAGCATATCACACATATAGTGCAGGTGTTAGTGAAACAGTTATCAATGTAAAGAAACTCAGCATAGTGCTAGGGGTGTGAGGGTGTATGCACATTTATTAATATATATATATATATATATTTCTATATATATACAGTGCTGCTCAATAAAAGTGACTCCCCTGATATTTTTTACTAAATGTTCTCTTCTCCGATGAAACGGAAGTTGAGCTAAATTCAAAGGATAAGCGATCTAAAATCCGAAGAAGAAGCTTTGAAAGCTCTTTGAATTTAGCAGTAAGTACTGTCAAGCATCCGTTCAGTATAATGTTCTGGGGATGCTTTTCTTTTCATGGAACTGGTTTCTTAAAAACTATTGAAAAGACCCTCAAGAGCGAGCAGTACAAGAGAATTTTAGAGTCTTGTCTCCTCCCTTCTACTGAAAGGGTGCAAATCGACACCCACCAAGCTCATTTTTATGCAGGATAATGCTCCCTGTCACAAATCAAAATTGATGAAGGAATACTTTGATGAGAAGCAGGTGAGTGTTATGACATGGCTGCCCCAATCTCCTGACCTCAACCACATAGAAAACTTATGGAGCATGTTGCTGAACTGCTTTCTCAAGAGCCTGTACTTTATAATGCTCGGAGAAGAGAACATTTAGTAAAAAAATCAGGTGAGTCACTTTTATCGAACAGCACTGTATGTGTGTGTGTGTGTGTGTGTGTGTGTGTGTGTGTGTATTTATATGTATAGTTGTTAGTACGATATAGAATAGTATTCAAACAAAAGTGGAGTTAATGAGAAAAAGTAGTTTTGATAACTTCATTTTACCTTTTGATGGCTGGCATCTTCAGGTCAGAATGAGTGGAAAACACATTTGTAAGGGAAATACATTAGAATCTTTGTGAAAGAGGTAATAAATATTTTTATCAGATGCTATGGTCAGAACCCTTCTTTTTTTTTTGTATTGAAGCTTTTAGCGCCTGCTGGATTTGAATAGATCTCTGTTTTTTTTCTGTATGAGTTCAAGAACCACTTTTGCAGTGATTAGTGATATTGTATATGAGCCTGGCTTGCCGTTGACCATAGAGAATTGTGAGATCAGTGTATTTTCAATGCATTTTCTTTTGGTTAATTCTCTCTTCTAATCAGACTGGCACTCATTAGGTAAAAGTTATGGTCAGATGTGTTCAAAGTGAACTACTGGTGCATTTAAAGTGTTATTATGCAATAGATCCCTACAATGTTCATATAGATTTTAGGGAGATATCTGGTTGTTTTGCTGATTGAGCATTTTGTGCTAATTATTTTGTATATTCCTGTCTTGGTTTTATTGTTGCCTTTAAATAGGGTATAAATAACAATGGTGACAACTCTTTGCTAAGAGGAGAAAATAGTGATGATAACTTTTCTAGAACAAGAAAATTTCCTAAAAACAAGATCGGAATTCATTTCTGGAGGTAGACACAAAAACATATTCCTACTACACTACCTACAAACCATAAGCAAAATGACTAAATAAAATCCTATACCTATAAAACTAATAAAGTTTATTTCAAATACTAAAACATAGATCCAAAGAAAATTATTTAAAAAATGAATAAATAGAATAGGCAAATTAAAGATAATTAAAAGTAAATAAAGCAGAATATTAGCCCTTGGCAAAAATACTGCAAAGAACTGATTCCTTACTTCCCCGACTTCACTCAATCCCTCAGTGGCTTATATATAGAATCTATAGAGACTGCTAAAAGAGTAGTGACACATGGTCTGAAGATAGCTTTAGGCATGAGACTAACAGTCATCATAGAGTGTAACATCAATCAGCTGTCACAAATCTTTTACTTGTTTATATATATATATATATATATGTGTGTGTGAAAATATATAGAAAATAGGAAAGAACTTGTTAGGTGAATAATCCAAAGTTCTTTAGTATTTTTGTTATTATTTTTAAAAAACAGTGCTCGGTACAAAAGTAGAGCCTAAATATAATTATTTATTTAAAAATATGATTCCATCGCTACATAAGAGTTCTCATGTTTCAAAACAAGAGCCATGTGTGTATGGATTGTAAAAGAAGGACCTAATTTTCTGTTAGTAATCTTTTATCCAATTCTCTCCTCTAATATTCTCCAATTGGAAGTGAGTTTAAATAAATAATAGGGAGGTAAATTTTAGATAATTTAATTTAAATTGGAATATATTACCCTTTAAAAAGATTACTAGATATAAAATGGATTATTCTTTCCATGTACTTTATGAATTTTTTCCAATCGACTATTTTATAGAAGATACCGAAAACTCCAACAAAATTTAAATTAAATTCTTTGTAGATTTTTTAGACATTTAGATTTATATCAAACTTTAACCCCCAAATATACCCCTTAAAGTAATGCAAAATAACAGCATATAAGAATTTGAGTGAAACCTCTGCTCATGGACATGATTTATTATTTTATTGTTTGCTGTATCTTCTTCCTTTTAAGTCGGTCTACTCCCTCACCCCTTACCCATCTATATCTAGAAATAACATACATTAAGTTAAGCAGCGTCTAGCCTACACAGAGTGGGGTTAAGGATAAGGAATTGAAATGGTACATCTAACTCACTCATATCTTCTCTCCCACCTCACTTCCTCACTTCGTTAATTTTACATATGCTTGGTGCGGTCCGTCAAAAATATGTGTAAGTTTCTTTTCATTTTTCATTTCAACTTTTGGAAGTAAAGTCTAATGATCCAGAGCCCTTTGGAGGGGTTATGGTGAAATAACTTATGACATGGAACCTTAAAGTGGTCTTTTTTTATTCAAACATATTTGCTCTGAATTTACATTGAGCTCTCTGGATATCATCCTCCTTGGGTCTACCCATACGGATTACCTAGATTTGCATAAACTATATATATATATATATATATATATATATATATATATATATATATATTTAAACATATATTATTAAATGTAACAGACAATGAATGTCTATTATGTCTGATCATGAGCCATTCTAATGTATGAATGTTTGCTTTAATTTCTGGAGAAAATAAAGACAAAAATTGTCCAACAATTTTTTTAAGTTGGTCCTAAGCTTTTGGCTTGCATGTGCCATCTTCAGAGTGTTTATACAGACATGAAACAAATATATCCACTGTCAAAGATAATATTTTGTTATTTTGACTCAGAAAATTGCTATGTGATGATAACAATTGTGGAATAGTAAACGCAGATCGTAAGTTCAAGATGCAGTTCTATAATGCCATACCACATGATAGACTGAAGTATTACAACAGAACCAATGTCTAGATGCAATCTTATGCATTGCCACTAGTTTAAAAGGTATTTATCTTGAGTATATATATATATATATATATATATATGGTTCAAAGTGTCTATGAGTCCTTGGAAAAGAATTATTTTCTACTCTCCAACCCCTCTCTCACAGACGGTATATGACGAATCTCTCACTGCTCTATTGCTACTTCAATGAAAAATGCTTGGATGAACTACATTCCTTGGTTCGGCCAAGACTAACCTTCACAGCTCAGATGCACCATTCCATTTACATAGTAGCAAACCACCCATATTCCCTCTGTATTCTATCACTGAGAAGTAAGTTCCACTTGAACAGCTTCTTCCAGCAAACCACTGCTACGTGGAACAGACTCCCAAGAGGATGTTTCCCCAATCACTATAATATTAACCTGTTTAAGTCTAGAGTTAACTGTTATCTTCATCTCCTATCCATATCAACTACTTCTTAGCATAACCATCTACCTCAGTGGCCCCTGGGCCTTGTATCGATTAAACCTTGCTGTAAATATATATATATATATATATATATATATATATATATATATAAAAAGTGAACATATAAGTCAACACTTAGAGGCGACAGTCTGTTTCATGCTAGATACAATCGGGTGGCATGACGATTGCGTATAGCATGAAACAGACTGTCGCCTCTAAGTGTTGACTTCTATGTTCACTTTTATATTTACACACACTCTATCTCTGATATTGAGCACTTTATCCCATAAATATAGCACATCTTAAGACTATATTTCTTTCTTTATATATATATATATATATATATATATATATATGTATATATATTCAACTCTTCTGAAACCGGTGGTTGGTTCTGCACAAATTTTCACTAATATAATCAAAACATATGTGTGAGTAGTTACTGTACCCTTAAAAAATGATGGGAGAGTTTAGTTGGTGGGGAAGTTACAATTTTACAGGGAAAACAATAAAGTTTCAAGGACACAGTTTTAAATGTTTAAATATTTTACATCCCATTTTTATTTTTTATTGCTGTCATTTTTAAATACCCACCCTGTCCTTGTATCAGGCTTTGTTTAGTGAGAAGCCTGCAGCTCATTTCCTCACAAAACTAAGACTGATACAATGTAGTATATGCACAAATGATAGCAATAAAATAATGAAAATGAAAACAACACTGAATGAGGTCAGCTAGTTTAGGCATCGAGACATACTGAGTGTCCAAAATTGAAAAATTGGATTTTAAAACTATCTATCTATCTATCTATCTATCTATCTATCTATCTATCTATCTACCTATCACAGTCTGTTCCTATCTATCTATCTATCACAGTCTGTTCCTATCTATCTATCTATCTATCTATCTATCTATCTATCTATCTATCTATCTATCTATCTATCACAGTGTGTTTCTATCTATTTATCTATCACAGTGTGTTTCTATCTATCTTTCTATCACAGTCTGTTCCTATCTATCTATCTATCTATCTATCTATTACAGTGTGTTTCTATCTATCTATCTATCTATCTATCTATCTATCTATCTATCTATCTATCTATCTATCACAATCTGTTCCTATCTATCTATCTATCTATCTATCTATCTATCTATCTATCACAGTGTGTTTCTATCTATTTATCTATCTATCACAGTGTGTTTCTATCTATCTATCACAGTCTGTTTCTATCTATCTATCTATCTATCTATCTATCTATCTATCTATCTATCACAGTCTGTTCCTATCTATCTATAACACTCTGTTCCATCTATCTGTCTATTATATTACTTTGTAAATAATAAATAGTGTTTAATATTTTTGTTGTAAATTCTGAAGAACAAAAAATATTTAATATTCACTGCCATCATATGTGAAGGTTTTATTCCCATTTTAATCATTGCTTTTTAATTGAAAAGTGAAGGTTGTCAAAAAAGCGAAGTCATGGGAAAAACTGTCCTTTTGACACTCTGTCTTATTGCAGGCACGTGAGTGCATGTTGACCAAATTTTCTTTTCTTTACAGAGTAGAACAGTTTCTCAGTTGGAAGAAAAACTAAGAATTCTACAGCAACAAAATGGTAAAGTTACAGTTTTATCTTTTTATCTTTTCAATCTCACAACAAGAAGGAAACCAATCAACATTTTAAGTTCTCCAACTGAATTGCCCCCTTTTCTTTTATTCACATGACCCTATGTGGTATGAAAAAAATAGGGAAAAAATAAGCTATTAATTGTATATTTTGTAGGTTCAGTTAAAAGATATTGTGGAGAATGGAGATCAAGTAACAACAAAGCGCACCATAAAAAATGATGATTAGAGATACTTGAAATATAAAACCGAAATAATTTTATTAAAATAAAATAAAAGCAAATTTTACTAAATATTAGAGATGGACAATTTTGGTGGTTTGTGTGCTGGGAAATAGAGGTATAATAATTTCCTGGACAAGTAGAATAAGGTTCAATGTTAGTTGTTGAAAAAAGATCAAGTTTACATTCAAATCAATCAAATAACATGAAATATCTTAAGAAAAATGCCAGCCTATACAAAACAATGCAAATTAAAAGAAAGAAGGTATAATAAAAAGCCTTCAGTGAGGTCAAACCCAGTTAAAAGGGTATTATTTACCTTAAAGGTATAAAATGTGAATATTTTTAATAGTTCTTTGATTTGATGTGAGTCGTTAAAGCTTGTGACAGAATCTGTCCATGCCTTCAGAGTCTTCAATGTATTTTATTTTTAGAACAGTTCTTATTCTCTGTCATGGAGATTACTATTTTGTTACAATAGTCGGGATGAAAATAAGCCTCAATTGTGTCGGGAAAATGACAATTTGTTTGTCAAGTCTTTGTTGAGGAGTGAATTTCTTTGAGTCTATGCTTGGTTAGGTTTTCAGATGTTTTCGAAAGACATTCCATCTCCCACTGACCAACGACTGTCCCATCTCCCACTCCTCAGCTTCTCCTACTGCTCCTGGTAGTTGAATCTACTACTCCTTGGTGTTGTGTCTACTATTCCTGTTGATGTTCGTATTGCAGGGTTTTTTAACCAACGATTAGCTCTGCTTTTTTCCAAAAAATTTTGTCAACCAATACAAACATTTCAGATTTCAATCAACTAGAGTAGCCATTGGTTAAAAATATCACATTTATCAAAACAATTTATTGTAGTAGAAAAAAATACTTCTGTTTTTCTTTCTTTTTCTTTCACTTTCCATTGATCTCACTTCACTCTGTGGTTAAGGAGCTTTGCACACAGGGTGGCAGGGTTCAGGTTTCAGTAAATTATTTTATTACCTTCATCCTACAAACTACAGATGCCCAAAAATTACTTAGAGTGAAAAAATAATTTTTAACAGTGGTTCTAAAAAAAATTCAATATTGAATGAAAAAACTGATATCAATGATTTGGATAATGTTACAAACATTTATATGAACCCTTCATTATGTTACCTAGACTTTTGAATATAAGCGCAGTACTAGATTGGCAGCAAGGTCTCATTAATTTATAGTTGAACTGGCTAAATGTACCCATATGTTCTATGGAACAGTTTCATTTTTCGCACTTCTTGCTTATGGAAATCTCTCCTGGCTCCAGATTTTCCAACCAACTTTGATCTACTGTCATCCTGATTATTCCTCTATTGTTCTCGCTCCTTAATAAAGTTTCTCCTTTTTGTTATTCTTTCTCACTCAGTAACCCCCTTGTGTCTTAGTGGCTTTATTGCCGTTAAGGTGTGATATGAAAAAATTATGTATTTTAAACCGACATATTATAAGAACAAGAAAGAATAACAAAAAGTTAAATTATGATAGTGATATGTAAATGTTATGGAAATTTACCTACGCACGCATGGACTTTCCCAGCTATAAATAGGAGCAGGTACTGCCTTTTGGAGAGGGAAGTTTCCAGCAGTCAGCTCTGAAAGTCGGACCGAACATTCTTGCTGTAACACTCTCGTTTGTATATGTTTGTATTATTGTTTCAGTTAATATATTTGTTTAACTCAATTTTTCTCTTGTGTCTTTATTTCTGCTCCAAACAAGGCTAAACAGTAAATGTAAGTAAGTAATTAGTATAACTGAGTCATAGTAACTATATAAATACCAAAGTAGCAAGGATAGATAAACAACTGTGACAGACTAAACAAAATCAATAATTATTTTAGACTAATCATTTGCCTTTTCCATAAATACTCTCCTGGCAAATCTTTCTTCTTGTTTATCTTTGCTGTGAATATTTGTTAGCAAACATTGATATAATGTTATTTAAAGTGTCTGTCAATATTCAGCAACAACTCATTTCTCACTAGAACTGATAATGGTAAAAATTGACCAAGAAGAGTGTAGTGATATGTAAAGGACTGTCTAATTAGCATAGCTGAGGCATAGACTATACAAATGCCCAAGCAGTAAAGCTAGAACAGCTCTCAGTATGCAAGAGAAATGACTGTTGCTGGACTGACAAAATACAAAGGAAATCACACTTCATAACAATTACCGTAAAAAGGTAATACCAAAAATGAATAAATTAACGGAAACTAAAAAGAGCTTAACCGATTTGTCAATCCTCTTTCATTAAATCTCATTTGGGGATGAGAAATATACACAGCAACTAAAATCAACAACATCAGAGACCAGATGCTACATAATAAATATACAAACGTCAAAAGTTAATTATACTTCAGCCTTATAATCACTCTTTTTTCTTACAGAAGAATGGCTGGAAGGACTTAATATGTATTGATTCTAAAATCTTAGGATAAAAATTAGTATATGTTTATCATGAGAGATAGACAATGGTAGTGCGATTATAGTGACTGCTCCAAGACACAGGCCTGGACAATGGTATATGGAGGCCATGCACTACCCAGATGACAAGCCAATTTTGGCCATACTGACATGATCCAAAAGAATACAGAGCATTACATTTGGGGCCGACTTGGCTGCAGGTGTTGCTGGAAAGTTTTCAGTGTTAAGAGCCAATTGCCTTTGGGCTCTTTCACTCCAGGTTTTCTATTTGGATTTACTTACATAGCCTTTTCTTTGTTTGGGTATATCCGCAAGGCAACAAAAATTTAAAATTGGGGTTTTCATTCCCCTGGATGGACTGCCTCCCTGGGTTGCCGAGCACCATCATCTACCAAAAGCAGCTGGTTATGAGGCACCAGATGTCCACCTTCACCCATTCTCTGGCATGTCACAAATAAACAGTGGGAGCTTGTCGCCACTATCACCCCCAGCTATAACAACTTTTGGAACATATATAATGTACATATATAACTGTAGTGACATGTAGATTACCGTATATACTCACAGATAGGTCACACCACTACTTTATGGCTTAATAATTGATGATTTACTGTTAATTCGCAGATAGGTTGCACTATAATCTGGAGAGATACACAGCTCTTTTTAAACATAAGAATTATCAGATATCTGCATTTATTTCTACCTTTATTTCAAAATTTAAAATTTTGAATAGACTTTTGCAGTTAAAATGCATTTTGTCAATCATTATTTAAACAAAAGGAAGTAACTGTTGTACCTGTATTTTTATATTTACTGCATATTATTTTTATTGTTATAATAAGGCCCTTATTTCTTATGTCCACAACTGAATCATACAATTCTTTTTCCATATTTTGATATAGAGATAGTGAGTACCTTGCTGCTCTCTTTGATTTTGGCATTTCTTTAAGCTGATCTTTCTGCTTTCTCCATTCTCTGACAACCTTTTCTGGAATTCCAAACTGCCTTTCTATTGATTGATTTCCATGTTCTTCTTCAGAATTTTGTACATTTAATTTAAAACCTGCTTCATAACTCTTTCTTTTACTCATGATAAGGGTTTGCAACAATTAAAATTATAAACTATATTTGGTTACCAACTACATCACTGTACAATGCAAACTAGTGCAACCATTTTGGGTACTAGATTCATGTGCTTTGTTATTAGTAAATAACACTTTAGAACGCCTTTTAATGTTATATGAAATAACCATTAAAGAAAATTATCTCATAAAGAATATACTTCATTTCTTTAAGTCATATTTTCCAATGTATTTTTGACAAAATATATTTTGCAGAATGTGTCATGGGACTATTTTTTCTTTGTCAATAAACATCTACACATGGTTCCTTAACTTATGTACGCATGTTCAGGGTTTCTATATCAGTCTGGTGTGAGGGCCCCAACTGAATGTTGACTGATGGATCAATGAATATTTTATAATTTTATTTATTGTGATGGATATGTGAATCTAGCAACATGAGGTAAGTTTAAAGCAGTGCGTTAGTATATATGATAGATAAATTGTTTCTATACAGAGAAAAACCACAGCTTTAGTGTTTATGAGCATCCTTTCCGATTTCTCAGAAATCATCATGATGACAAGGTAGTGTTGTTTTAGATTTGTGTCGAGCGGATAGGTCGCACCCCCCCTAATATTTTGTGAAATTTTTGGTAAAAAATGTGCAACCTATCCGCAAGTATATATGGTAACCAATTAACATAGCTGGAATTCCTAAGCTATATAATGGCTCTGATTAGAAAGAGGAGAGAACTACGCATGAACATTGAGTAGTAACATAAAGGACTTAGGACTTCACAACATATACATTACGTGTTTTAGAAGCTGCCAAAAAATTAATAGTTATAAAATTTTAGGCATACACAAAGACAAGAAAGCAAGACACATTACAAAATAGTTGTACATACATAAACAAACAACAAATCTTGAAAGTTTGTTAATTTTAGAAAAAGATGTAACTGTTACATGAAATCAGTCCTTCAATATGGAAGTGAAGGCTGGACAATCTCCTCAAAGATGAAGAAGGAACTTGAATCAACAGAAATGTGGTTCTACAGAAGTATGATGGGGATACCATGAACTGAACATGCGAGCAACATCAAAGTTTTAGAAAAAATGAAAACAAAAAAGAAACTTATAATTAACATCAGGAAGAGAGAGTTGAAACTTCTAGGGGACATGAGGAAAGAAGGCTTGGAAAATCTAATACTCACAGGACAGATTTAAAGGTACGAGGCACAGAAGAAAACAGCACATAAACTTCTTAGCGAGCTTGAGTAAATGGATGGTGGAACAAAGTTTAGTAGTAATAACAATAAAAAATTATTAAGAGCTACAAAGGACAGGAAATTGTGGAGAGCCATGATCACCTACAGCCTAAAGAGACACAGTACATAAAGAAGTATTTTGTCCAGAGTTTGGGTTTGTACCATTTTCAGCTTTAAAGCTTCTCTCTCTCTCAGACAAAAATGTCAGTTTATGTATTTGACCACCATCTTCTGTGTGAATATTCACCAAGGAAGAATAACAATTTTCATCAGCATGCAATGTTGTTTATATTTAAGGTGACTAGCTCATCATTTGAAATTATTATGGGTTTGAAATCTTGTTCTGATTTGTGGAAATATTACAAAGGAAAGGTTTTCCTTAATCCTTTTCTTCCAGATCATCTGATTTTGAATGTCCTAAGCCAGATTTAGCTTTGTCATAAACAGGTTCAAAATCAAGGCTTATCAAGAAAAAATTACCACTAATCACAATGAACAGATGTTTCCTCAGGAAGGCCCTGTCTCTTGAGTAACCACTGGACCTCAAACTCAACCAGTCCTCAAATGGAACTCCTACATGGAGTCCATCTCTTATGATACAGGAAAAATAGTAGGTTCCCTGTGCTGCTCCAGCAAGTACCTGACTCCTCGTGCTATCGTCTACCTTTATAAGAATGAGGTCAGACCTAAAATGAAGTACTGCTGTTATATTTGGTCAGGGGCTGCACAGTCTTCACTTTCTAGTCTTGATAGGATCCAAAAGTGTCTCCATGTCTTTGTGGGTGACAAATTATTTTCCACCCAGTAACACCCCTCTCACAAACAAAATGTCGCAAGTCTTACACAGCTGTATGGCTACTTCCACGAAAAGTGCTTGGACAAAGTACATTCCTTGGTTCCACCAATTCTAGCATTCATGGCTAGGACCTGCCATACTACACACATTGTTGTGAACCACCCTCATTTCCTTCTGTATTCCATTGGTGAGAAGTAAATTCCACTCAAGTAGTTTCTTCCTGCGAACCACTGCTCTGTGGAACCAACACCCAAAAGGATGTTTTCCTGATTATGACAATCTTAATCTGTACAAGTCTAGGGTCAACAGTTATCTTCCCCACATATCCGCATATACTGTGCCCCTTATTCTGTAACCCTCTACCTCAAGTAGCTCTCAGGCCTTGTACAGAGTGAACCTCACTATAAAAAAAAATTCATAGGGTTACTGAATGAGGTTGTTGTATGGAATGTAAAAAGGAGGAGGAATGAAGTGCATTTTATGATGATATGTAGGATAGATAATGCTTAACCCTAGATTAAGATTGTAGTGATAGTGGAATACTATTTTTTCGTTGCCAAGGTAAAACGGAAGAAAGTTTTGTTGAAACATAAGAAAGTGTTATGTACTGAGAGACATTGAAACGAGAAGGGTTAATACCAAAAACCTGTGGAAAGAATTGAGGATTTAATTCACACATAAACGACTTGAATTGTATGTCAAGCAGTTTGAGCAATGGAAAAGTGACCCAGACTAAGGGGGCAATGTTGACTGATACACAGTTGCAAATACAAGCTTTAAAGCAAAAAATTCATTTTTCATAAACAACAAATTCAGAGTCGATTCCCCTGGTCGAATGTTGAGTTGAAATACCAGGAGGTGGGTGGATAAGCCACCCACGCTCATTGAGGGGATTTAATGAGAGAGTGGAAGAAGGCAATTCCCAAGAATTATCAAATTCTCTCACTTTGCCAGTTTGGGTGAATCTCCATAAATATGAATGCACGAAGCAAATTAGGCAGAAGAGAGAAGAGAGGCAGAAGAGATGGAGATGAGACCAGAGACAGGACAGAGGCCCATGTGATTATCTGCCGATGAAAGCCTCTGACTTCAGCCTTGTGCTAAACTTTATCAAAGCAGCAAACTAAACTTTGCCAAGTCCACATCAATAATAGCACTTCCGATTTGGACACAGATTGGGCTGATAATTAATTGCATGCAAACTCTGATATAACCAATTATTGTACAAAGGCCTGATTCAAAACGGTATTTACTTTTGTTCAATTTATTCGAGTGTTATTTTTTTCCATGTACATCTTTGCTCTGCTTGGACCAACCCAACACAAAGATACCTGTGACGATTCGATCTTGGCCTCCTTATGATCAAACTTAAATCCCAACGTGGGATAAGGCAGGACTGAAATTGAAGCGATCTTCATTGATCAGCTGCTGTATTGGAAGTCTTGGACAACTGGGGAGGGTGTTACACAATTACAATAGGGAAAGCATTCTCCTTGGAGTCTGTTCCACAAAGTAACAGTTCAGGAGAAGAAACTGTCTGAGAGTAGCTTCTTTCTTATGAAAGGAATACAAACAGAATGCGATTAGTTGCTCCCAGTATATGTGACTGGGCAGGACTTAGCTGTGAAGGTCTGAACTGGTAAAACTAATGAATGTAGCTCATCAGAACATTTGTCATGGAAATAGTGATAGAGTATTGAGAGGCTTGCAGCATTTTGTCTGTGGGAAAGGGTTTGTACGGAGAAAATAGCGTCTCACTCACAAGATCACATAATGCTTTTAAACTTTCTCAAGACTGGAAAGTGATGACGAATCAGCTCCATTCCAGATATAGCAGTCATACGTCAATTTCGGTCTGATTTGGCTCTTGTAAAGACAGGGCATAGCAGAAGGAGTTGGATACTTATAGGAATGAAAAGAAATTAACCATTTTTTCAGCATCTTTTGTTTCAACATTCCTTAAAAATTTCTCATTGCTCACATGCTCTGTCAATGGTATTCTGAGCCTTCTGTAGAACTACATTTCTGTTATTTCAAGTCTCCGTTTGATATTAAGGAAAGTGCCCAGCATCCAATGACAGAGAGAAGGACTGGTATTACGTGTTTAGTTTCTTCTTTCTTTCAATGCACTCAAATTACTTAAACTGTGATAATGATTTTTTTTTTTAAATCTGCTGATATGACAGCTGTTGCAATACAAAGAAAAGCATTTCTTGAAAAAGAGAGGTTCATAAAAACTAAATGCTTCTAGTGCTATCTAGTGACTAAAACAAACAGATCTACATTTATCAGGCCACCAGGTGATCAAAATGTCACTTTCCTTATCCCTGAGTCTCAGTCAGTATTTTTTTATTATGTAGATGAGACATCGTCACCTGCTGAAATGGTTAAGTTACTGAAAATCCAGTGTGTCATGCTGCAAAAACAAGTGCAGGAAATGGAGGTGAGTTGTCAATTTGATTTACATTGCAATCATATTGGTCTCTATTAAATGGCATTGCTAAGGATCTCAATATGTTGAAGAGAAATGAAAACAAGATATTCTTTTTTCTTTCTAGCACAGTTGATAACTTAGAACATGCTGTGTATTTGGTTATTGCAACCATTGAAAGAAAAACAATTGGTTTTCTTTTGCAGATTAGGATTTAGAACTGGGGTTTCTGTTGAAGTCAATTGATTTAACTTAACCTTAACAGAGAATTGCTGGCTATCTATCCCAATCTGTTCATATCTATCTATCTATCTATCTATCTATCTATCTATCTATCTATCTATCTATCTATCTCAATTTCTTCATATCTATCTATCTATCTATCTATCTATCTATCTATCTATCTATCTATCTATCTATCCCAGTCTTTTCCTATCTATCTATCTATCTATCTATCTATCTATCTCATTCTCATCATTATCTATCTATCTATCTATCTATCTATCTATCTATCTATCCCAGTCTTTTCCTATCTATCTATCTATCTATCTATCTATCTATCTATCTATCTATCTATCTATCTATCTCAATTTCTTCATATCTATCTATCTCAATTTCTTCATCATCTATCTATCTATCTATCTATCTATCTATCTATCTATCTATCTATCTATCTATCCCAGTCTTTTCCTATCTATCTATCTATCTATCTATCTATCTCATTCTCATCATTATCTATCTATCTATCTATCTATCTATCTATCTATCTATCCCAGTCTTTTCCTATCTATCTATCTATCTATCTCAATTTCTTCATATCTATCTATCTCAATTTCTTCATATCTATCTATCTATCTATCTATCTATCTATCTATCTATCTATCTATCTATCTATCTCATCATTATCTATCTATCTATCTATCTATCTATATATCTATCTCATTCTCATCATTATCTATTTATCTATCTATCTATCTATCTTTCCCAGTCTTTTCCTATCTATCTATCTATCTATCTATCTATCTATCTATCTATCTCAATTTCTTCATATCTATCTATCTATCTATCTATCTATCTATCTATCTATCTATCTCTTCATATCTATATATCTATCTATCTCAATTTCTTCATATCTATCTATCTATCTATCTATCTATCTATCTATCTATCTATCTATCTATCTATCTAATTCTTTTCACCTCAGTGTACCTATATCTGTTCATATTTATCTTTCGCTGTAGATGCACATGCACACGCACACACACACACACACACAAGTGTCTTCTAGAAAGTTCATAAGCTGACCCAAATATAAATGTAAGCAGAGACACTATTTGGTTGACCAAAAGACATGCAACGCTATTTTAGTAGTATATATCTCCCCACCTTATTTGGCTGTATGCATTGTCACTCCTGGCCTAAATTCTCATCTAAGTAGCCATGTGAGAAAGAATATCATTGCTTTTTACCCTTGTATGTGTCGCTTTGAAATTAATTCCATGTTTATTTTACTTTCTCTCTGTCCCTCTCTCTTTTCCTCATTACTAATATTTCTTTCTTTTTATTTTGGAGTATTGCTGCCATATATGGTCTGGGGCACCTTCTGTTTACCTCGGAGTTCTTGACAAGATCCAGAGATGGATATGTAATATAATTGGCCCTGATCTGGCATCTCGTCTACAGTCACTCTCTCACAGACGCGCCGTTGCCTCTCTCTGTCTTTTCTACAAATACTTTCATGGTAATTGCTCCGATGAGCTGCTTTCACTTATTCCCAGACTCCATGAATTCAAGCGCCCTACCAGGCTGGCATCTCACTCTCACCCTTACACTGTAGAAACTTTTAAATGTAGCCATCTCTTCTACTCCAATAGCTTCATACCTCGCACCTCTCGCCTGTGGAACACCCTTCCCTATTCCAGTTTCCCTGAGAGCAATACTCTCCAACTATTCAAATGTAATGTCAATCGACATCTCCAGTTACCTTGATCTATCCACTATCCTTCTCCTCATCCTTTCTTCTATCACTCCTATCTGCTCTTGCTCCAAATCTTCTGCATCTGGGTGTGTGTAGTGAATACACAAGCATCTCCCTTTACTCTCTTCTCCCAGTGTGACTTTCAGACCTCTAGCCCACAAGCAATCTATATATAACTTGCGCCATAGCTCCCTTCCCATCTTAGCTCTCCAGTTGTGTTCCTGTGCACATTGTTGTCTTTGTTTTTGTTTGATTTTTTCTGTTTCTTGTGTATTTTTTTTTAATAGTAGATAGGCTTTCCTATCACCCATTTAATACTACTCCCATCTTCTTTTGAAAAGGATTAGAGGCTCATCCCTTGTTTCCTGTTTAGGAAGGGTTTCCAGGATCCTTTCCTTTTCTCTGGCCTTAGTAGTAGCACTGTCGTGAATCTCTTGTGATGTATGTGGTTTGCGGTAATGTCTCTTTTTACTGAGGTTACCAGGTTGGTAGTTTTCTGCTTGCTGTTCCTGACTGGTAGGAACCTGAACTCTTGCGTAGTGTCTTGAGAGGCTGCTCTGATAAACAGTTGCAGAGTAAAATTACCAACAATACATTTTATAGCAAAATGACAATAAGTACAACATTAAAAAACGTATAAAAATAAAAGCAATAATTTTTTTTATAAAAACATTACCAACGATACATTTCTGTAGTGAAATTACTAGCAATACATTTTTATTATAAAATTACCAACGTTTTTATATCAATTTTTTATTTCACAATAGAATTACCAACAATGTATTTTATAATAAGATAACCAACAATACATTTTTATAACAAAAGGACCAAGAATACATTTTTACAGCAAAATGATAATCAATGCATTTTATAGTCCTGTGTATGTGATAAACAGCATTCATCGGTAAGGCCTCTTATCAGAAGGTTTTGAGGAGTGTGGAACCACCTCTTAATTGCTGTTGTTTTCAGATTCACCCTGACCCGGGGTGGTACCACTTACTAGAGTCCCAGCTGTGAACAAATACAAACAGTGAACGCCCAAACAAAAATCTACAATACATTTTTATAGTAAAATTGCCACCTATACATTTTTTACAAAAAAAATTTACCAACAATTCCTTTTTTTATATTAAAATTACCAGCAATACATTTTATGATTTACAAACTAGGTATTTACTCTGTCTCCTCACTAAGACGAGTTGTGACACAAGGTCTTTTTTTAAAGCTGTTCCCTAGGGCTGGGCACCTGCAGTATAATTTTTCTTAGTTTCGACTCTGTCCTTTGACGAAGTTGCCCCTGAGTGAACTCTGCACATAGACAGAGATGCAACTGAGAGATGATAAATAAATGTTTTACAAACCACTCATGTAAAATTATGTACAAAATATTTAGATTTCGGCATTAAATAACCCATAGAGGTGTTGATATGCTGCAAAACAAAATCAACCACCCAAGAAAATATATGCACAAAAGCTGAGTATTATTTACCATGCTTTCAATTGTGAAAGCCGAATAACATATATCATATTTTTATTACTTCAAAGCTACAAAGAAAACTTAAATGTCAGAATTAAATGACCCATGAAGGAGTTGATATGCAATTAAACAAACAAACAAATCAATCAACCTTTAAGAATTCTGTGTAATCAGAAGATAGATCATGTTAATACCATTGTCGACCTCCTAGAGGTCAACATAATTACAGCTGGTGATTCTTTCTTCAAATATATCCTCTCCACATCTTTCCTGATACCACAACTGTAAGAAGCTTAAGGCACCACACATTTTGCCAACTGCCATGGACATCCAACCCTATACTCGTCTGTTAATATTAATTTCCCAAAATCCAGATTCATAAACTGTTTGGTCCATTTCGTATGCTTAATGAGGTAACTTGATTTCAAAGGACAGTAAACAATTGGTTTGCAGCTAAATTCTTCAGTCTGTGGGATTCTGATGTTTTAGGTCTGTTTGCAGTTTCAATGGCTTCAAATTTGTCTGTGCATCAAATATTGCTTCCACATCTAGTCTGATGCTTCTGCTTCCTCTCTAGAGATTCTTGATAAAATCCAAAGAAGATTTGTTATCAGTCCTGACCTGGCATTTCAGCTTCAGTTGATTTCCTATCACTATAATATAGTTGTCCTTTGACTCTTCTATAAATATTTTCACAGTAATTGTTCTGGCGAGCTTTCCAAATTAGTACTTCAACTTCACAAATTTTGTCTCACCTAAAAGGTGAGACAAAAGCTACTTCATCTCTCTGTATACACACGCACACACACACACACACATATATATATATATATATATATATATATATATATATATATATAAAAGGCAGGATGTGTGTGTGTGTAACGAATGCACGCCCGCAATTTTCGACGGATTTACACCAAAATTTACATGCACATGCTCGAAGTTAGCAGGAAGGCCAAGACCAACTTTGCATTTCCCAACTCCCATCGATAGTGGAAATAATCGATTTTTTCATGCTTCTACAGCAGTTTTCATGTAGTTTGCGGCCATTTTCTACTGGCCAGAGTGAGAGCCTATAGCTGGCTGCCATGAATAGGCAGGAAGATTCTATTGGCCAGCGTGAGAGCCAACAGCTGACTGACACGAATGTTAACTAGCATGCTAGCATGCAAAAAAAATCGATAGCTGCATTCGTCACAAGTTGGAAAAATTTAAACCTGCATGGCACTTTACTCCAATTGGCTCATTCGCTTGCTTAAACGTTGATCCTAATTCCGCAGAACTGGGTTGGGTGTGAAAAAGTATTTGTTGTTAACATTCTTTTTTTATTCGTTTTTTCCAGTTACGAGTCCTTTTTTTAAAGCTGAGCATTTTGTGTTCATTTTGTTTAGTTCTTTTTCGTAATAGATTTAATGTTTAGTATAGAGCTTAGAAAAAATTTGCAGTGTGAGATAGGCAAGAAGTAAGGCATGTAGCAACATCAGCACAGCAAAGGGCACTTGTTTAAAGGCAAGGAAGGGTAAAAATATTTTAAGTCAAGTGATAGCGATTGGTGTATGAGTCGTACGATTTTTGAATCAAGCACGGGCAATGCCGGGCTATGCTGTTAGTATATATATATATATATATATATATATATATATATTAAAGTGCTGGAAATTATCTGTAGTATTGAAAGGGCACAGAATTTATTATTAGATTCAAAATTTCTACTAAAGTTGGACCACAAGCCCTTAGAGTTGATTTTCAATTCGAGGAAAGAGTTACCTAATGTCATGTCCAGAATTTTGAGGTGGGTGATTAAGCTTATGGCATTCGAATTCAACATTATGTATAATAAAGGAAAATGCCATTTCACATGTAGACACATTGTCGAGATTGAATTTTAATACCCAACATGTTGAAACAAAGGACAGTTATGAAGACAGAATTTTGCACTGGGTAGAGACAGATGTGTTATCCTTCAGGCAGCTCAAGTTTGAAACCGAGCAGGGTCCTATATTAAAAAGAATACTAAACAGAATACAGAATGATGTATGGAGCAATTGCACTATGGCGAAAAGGCCTTTTAAGGAAGCAAGGCACAGCTTGACGATTGAAAGAGGAGTCATATGTAGTGAAGATCTTATTGTACCCCTGCATTACACGACAACATACATAGTAGTGTATTGAACACACAACTAAGGTTGAAACTACAAGCCTGGAGACCGGGGTATATGTAACACATGGAGGATTATGTCAGAAAATGCCCTAAGTGTGAAAAAATAAAGAGCTTTAGACAAACCAAAATTCATTCAGGTTCAAAAGAGAAGAAGCCATGGATAAGATTACACATGGATCATGCATACATTAAAGATGTAGGCCTATTCCTCATACTAGTAGTCTGATATTCAGGTTGACCTGAAGTGGTTAAAGTTTTGACAGAAAAGCAAGTACTGTAAAACAGTTCGGAGTAGTATTTTTGAGGAACAGAGTACCTAAGACATTAGTGTTGGATAATTCACCAGAGTTTACTGAAAGAAAGCTTGTGTACTTGGCTAACATGAATTGGATGTAGGCCATGCACAACACACCTATACCATCCTCAGTCAAATAAAATTTTGAAGAGGATGGTCCAGACAATAAAAGTTGAATTGAAAGCATTCTCTCCAGGAAATTGCGGCCTAGAAAGTTATCTACCAAGATTGCTTTTAAGTTACAGGACTATCCCACATGTGGACAGAACACAAAG